AAACTGAACAAAATGCGTACTAAAAAATATATGCCAAACGAAATTTATGCCAAATCTGTAAAGTGGCGAATTCGATCATATAATGGAAATGGGTTGCCAGCTTCGAAAAAAAATTAACTAAGCAAAGTATTACAAAATATATATCAATCAAAATACATTACAGAAATTTCAAAGAAATTTTCGAATTAGATATATAGAAGAGCGTTGCACACCTCTTAAAAAAATTCACAATATACAAAATAACAAATATTTTGTCAAATGAAGAACACTTAATAGTTCATTAAATTCAGCAAATTCATTAAAAGGTTTGCCACCTCTTAAAAAATTTACGACGAAATACCATTAAATTTTTGTTTAAAGTAAAATAGAACCTTCAAAAAGATGTTCTTATAATAACGGAATAACCAGCCCATTAACGCGGTTCCAGAAATAAGCATAATTACTTAAACTGTTCTTATATGAACATATATAGCTAAAAGTTAGGTTATGAGTTCACTAAACCGTTAGTGATAAAGACCTAGCTGAAACATAGAGGAACTGAAATAAACGTTTTAATAAGAGAGAGAGAGAGAGAGAGAATTCAAATGGAAATTATATAAATCGCCTCTGTCTTTCAACTAAGTTCAGGTTAAAACTTCCTAGGTTTCTTCGTCGCCAAATAAAATCATTTATTTTCCCTGTTCTTTTTTTATTTTCCTCACGCTTTGCACGTTGACTGACAGCAGCAGCACTATTGAAGCTAAAAGTTGAATGACTCGTCAAAAATCGTAAATGCAACTTACCGCTCTGTCACATACCCTCCCGCACACACATACGTACACGTAGTGGCACAATTTATGTCAGTTTTGCACTTGTCAAAGTCGGTTTCCGAAACATAATAAAAATAATAATGATTTTACCATACTCAAAAACATGGCAGCATACAATAAATTTGACTCAAATAAAGAAATAACAGCGCAACAAAGAGTTGAGAAAAACCTACAGAAACGTCAACAGTTACTTGGGCAGCATTGTTTCGGAGCAGAGCATGCGAAGCTTTAGCTCTGGAAGAGTGGAGACCAGCACTTCAAAGTAGAGTAAGCGCGCAGACGAGCATTCAATTGCATAATGGGGCACGCTAGAGCCAGAAATGCTGCGACGCTTAGTCGCTTACACTTTAAAGCGGCACATAGGCGCATATGTGTCATTGAATGGGGCTACTAACTGCGAAACCATATAGGCGACTGCCAAACAAACGGACACATGCGCATGCAACTGTACTTGCATTTGTTGAAATGCTTCGAAGAAAGCGGAAGACAAAGCACTCGAAAAGTACAAACGATAAAAAGACATAAAAGGCAATGCAAAGTGTACAAAAGAGAACAGAGAATGCATATGCATAAATGTAAGTGGTTAAACACACACACATATTGACACGTATGTGAAAGAAAGTGCAGAAAAGAATCGCAACTCTCCTCACTCCGCCCAGAGTGGACCCACGGTATATCTGACTGGCTGTTCCTGTGTGTTTCAGATTACTCACTTCTTGCACATTTTTGTTTCGTTTTATTTTTGTGCTCAAACTTGCCGCCACAAACGCAGGAAGCCATTTAAGTGTTGCCACTCGCTTGTGCTGCCACCAACAGCTGCTGCTCGAGTAATTTGTAGACAGCCTATTTCCCCCTTCATCCTGGTGCACGTTCACTTAATAGCTAACCAAGCGCACCGCCACCCACTCAACAAGTCTGCCAGCCATAGACTACCTCCCACCCCTCTCAAACCAACACTTACCCGACACACAGGCAATGGTGTTCAAGTGTTCCTAAGCCTCACTCCCGCCAGCAACTGCACCTTGAGCGTTAAATGCTGACGGGGCCTTAGCCTTGCCGCATATCTGGAGCGTAAAGCAACAGCCAGTGCTCGGCTTAATTATTTATATGGTTGCCCAGCCTCTAAGCCTTTGCAGCGCTGTCGCGTCACCACAGAGTATCAATAGCTGGCAAGTGCTTGCATTGGATTAACTTTGTTTAGAATATCAGTGGACTTTGGCGCTTATAGTCTTTACTCTAGCCAACATACGAGTACGTGAAATTTATTTTCCTGCAACAAATTAATGTGTGTGCCTGTGGTTGTTAGTTATTTTAATGCCGACATTTGATATAAGATTAGCGTTAAGCCGCAAAGCAAAAACACATGTTGAAACTATGTATGTACCTCACCTATGCGCTTTCCTCAAAAATAAGCATGAAGAGAAAATCACAATTAAAAGCTAATCAGCAAAAATTCAAGAGTTACTATTTATATACATATATCTCTAATTTGTAGCGAAGGGTAAAATATTTCATTTTGCGCTGCTGCGATCTTGAGGTTTATTAACCCGTCAACGAGTATGCCGCGTCATTTGGCCCCGAATGTGTTTATAGCTTATTTGTCATGCTACAAAAAAAAATTGGTGAAAGTAAAACAGCAAGTTAGTTCCTTTAAATTCTATATAAAGCTAACGACATCCCTGTATCATTTTGTCAAAAATTAAAAATTTTACTAAGTCTTCGCTCACTCGTCCCACTCGTCTATTGTAATAATAATTTTTGTTTTTTCGTTTTCAAATAATTTAAGTAGACAAATGTTCCGCACCGCCAAGCAGCTTTTTTCGGAGGTAAAAAAATGTAAAAGGGGTTTACTGGAAATCGACTATGGGATCAAGGGAATCCAATATATTTCAAACTAAATCGCCGATTGTTAAAATACCTTGAATTCTGTAAATGTGCAATATTTTTATTTATATGCTCACCAAAGGTTTAAAGTTAACTTTCTTTCTCCCTTCAAAAAAATGTATTTCTCTTTATTTCTTTTAACTGAATCCACACAAAAAGACTATCCCAGCAACCACAGCCACTATTAACAATATTTTCAATAATATTAAAATCGCATTATTTAAATTTCTATAATTGCTCATCTCCCTCTCATTGTCAATAGATAATCTGCTTATATGAAATAATTTATCGAAACCGAATCGAATTTGTTTACAAACAACTCACTGTCTCTGTTGGCTCATCGCTTTTGTTTTCGCATCATTGCAAGTTATCTTAACCAACAACAACAACAAGTGCTCTGGTTAATTGTTGCATTACGTGATTATCTGTAGCTCAGATGTTGCATGATATAACAGTAATTAATCAAACGATTGCGTCTCCGACATAAATTCGTGGCACATTTCCATATGCTTCCAGCACATCACCACCAAAATTATAAATACAAACGCAATTTGTTAAAATTAAAACGTTTTCGGTCAAAAAACTAACCCACACAAATGGAAGCGAACGATCGCATAAACAAAACAAGTAAAGAAAAGCAGCAAAGACAATTCAAAGAAAATGTCATAAGCGCCACTGACGGCTTAAAAAAAATACCCATTCGAATATACGCATCTGTATACTCATCTCAATTTCTACATACATACAAACATACATGAGTGTTGGTCAGGTGGTATAAGCAGGTAGGCAGAAAAGGAAAGGCGAGAGAGCAACAAAAGCAAATTGAAAAAGAAACAGTTAAACTTCAAATCAACACATTGACACTGACATATGAATGTGTCATTATTTACAATACAATAATTTATATACATACATATATAAAATATATTTACCTATTAACATATCTGCCACATTTATTTTTCAAGCCTGCTGCTGCAGTCACTAAACTTTTATTACATTTTTATTGATATTTATATTGTGTCGTTTGTGTAAACTACAGTTTCAATACCTTTTGAACACTATAACTGTCAACTGATAATTATGTGATTTATTTTATTGCTTGGTAAGAGAGGCGGTTTTGATATTAAATTTAATAGCGGTCACTTTAATTAATATCAGAGATTATCGTTCACACATGTAAAAGCAAAAAATAAATATTTAACATTACTTTGCATTATCTTCCTCTATATAACCTGGTGATCATTGGTGATATCACTAGTACTCTCTTTGAATATAGCACCATTGGACTATTTTTATACCCTGAACAGACTATATTCAGTCAGAGTCGATTTAGCCAGGTTCGTCTGTCTGTCTATACCCAAGAAGCTGCTTATCATCGACATCGGGCCCACATAGGATATAGCTGCCATACAAACTTATGAATCAAAACCAAAAAAACTGGTTCGTCTTTCAGTGATCACTGAGCAATTAGCTATGAACCCCTAATGATTTTGGGTAGTAACAAAATCGAAAAATCAACTTGATTATTCCAACGATCGTCTTGTCAATTTAATCTTAGACTCATTCACAGTCAATAGGTTGCTCAGAGTGCTAGAAATTTTTTGTTTGCTAGAAATACCTAAATACACATAGAGCTGTGTTCACAAAAATAGCAGTGCGAGAAATGCAATCAAGTAATGTTATTTTCTTTCAAGTTCCGTTACGACTATTCCAACGTCTACTCATTGTTGTTGTAGAATGGAATGTGTATAAGGTAGAAACGAAAAAATTCCGTTAGATTTGCGAGATTGAAGCAAATGATCCTAGGTACACTTTGAAGACAGTTAAACACGGCGGATTGAGTATTATGGTATGGGCATGTTTTTCTTACAGTGGAGTGGGCCCTATATTCATGATTGATGGGATCATGAATCGATATGTATATGTTAACATATTAGAAAATGTTATGTTTCCTTCTGCCAATTGGGAAATGCCACTAAAATGGACGTTTTAAAAAGATAACGACCCCAAACATACAAGCAAACTGGTCAAAAGCTGGATGGCATCAAAGCGGATCGATCTTATGTCATGGCCTGCTCAGTCTCCGGATTTAAATCCAATTGAAAACCTATGGGGAGATGTTAAACGATATGTTGCAAATGCAAATCCAACATCTCGATCACAGCATTGGGAGGTTGTTCAAAAATCATGGGAGCGGATCCCTGTCAAGCGCTGCCAGGGCTTGGTGGATTCTATGCCTAGCAGTTGCCAGGCCATAATAAAAAATAATGGGTACACGACTAAGTACTAACCCCACTGTTTTCATTACTCACTGCTTTTTTTATGAACAGCCGTAAACAGCACTTTTTTGTTTAAATTAATAATGTAAAAAAAATTAACAACATTTTGAATAATAAATTGATTTGTTTTTGTTTAAAATAATCACAAAGTTAAAACAAAATTAAATTTGTGAACATTCATTTACTTTTTGATATATAAAATTAAGTTTAAAGTTGCAGCTCATGAGCAATGCTATTTTTATGAACACAGCATTTCCATAATCTCAACTAGCCTTATCGTCTAAAAAAAGTTGAAATATGTATCCGGTGCTCAAAATTATTTGGAGAAATTCGATCAAAACTTTTGCCATACCCTGTTACTCAATTAACTTATTATAGTTTTGATTAATTTTGTTAACACTTTTATTGGTCTCGCCCCATTCCTCGTAGTTCATGCATACAAGAAATTTCCAAATTTTCTCGATAGTATCGGCTTCAAAGTTTCGGCCACTTTCAGTTGCACTTGCGTAAATTTTCGCCTACAACAACCAGTCATTAGATGGAAGTATTAACTTTCTGCGCGATCACCGACTGACCAATCCACATTATCTCTGACATGATTCAACAGCTTTTGTCTGCATCTCTTCGTAATTATGTTGATCTCGCGTGACTAAAGTGGAATTGATCAAATTTAAATAAGTGTGTGTGGATGAGTATAAATCATATGTAAATGTTGAATTTCGTTGTTTGTTTTGTTTTCGACAGACTTTTTATGGTTGTTATTGCTTACAACTCTTGTAATTGCGCTGCAAAAAAAAAAAACATTTGTTCATAATTGTGATTTGTTGCCTTTCTTTGAGAGACTTTTGTTGTTGCCAAACACATTTTTTTTCTTGGAAATTTCCTTCCTACAACATTTCTCTCAATGGTTGATCATCTTTTGAAGTTTCGTTTGTTTATGCCTTTACTTCATCACAGTTTGATTTAACGAAATGCACTTCACATTCAGAGACAAACCTGTTTCTGCAAATTAAAAATCATAAGCAAATTACCAAAGCAACGCAGTGGAAAAAATATTTCAGATTTGACTTATCATCAGCGGTCGAAGTTGAATTTTAATTTCAGCAGCAGCAACATTTAAGTGCAGACAACGAAAGTGAAACCATCATAGAGCGCGAAGTGCCAGTTTAGAATAAGAGGAAACATTTGACAATATTTCAAAAACAGAAGTTACTTCAAGCAAAATGCAGTTTTTTGAACTGAAATCAAACTTAAGTTCTCAATATTTTCTACTCGTGACACTACTTCTCATAACGGCAACGCACAACTCCGATGGATACGATTATCAGCAGACGGCAGCACAACAAAATAATGGGTATATATATGAGCGTCCGCCGTTCTCGCCACCTGTTACCCTACCCCGTAGAGCAGAAGCATCTGCGCCTGCTGGCACTCATTTGCCGGTTTTGAGAGCTGTGGTGCGCCCACTAGGATCTTTGGGAAAAAATTACGAAGTGAGACTCTCTCAATCGAATCAGCCCACTTTACTACACGGGCAACCACCTAAACAAGCAGCTTTTAATGGACCATCCCCTTATTATACCAACAATTACCAACCAGTCAACCCCGTTGTTAGATATGCGCCGCCAACGATACCATCCCACCCCAGGCCATACCAGCAAGCTTTCCTTGGTGCGACTGATCAGCGATACAGCAACAACGCTGCCCCTGTTTTGAACATACCACATCAGAATCCGCTGCAGACACCGCAATATTTGCAACCAGCATCACCTCCCACCTTTTTAACACCAACGCCGCAACAGTCAGAATCCTTTGCGAATCACGGTAATCAGCAGCAGCCACAGTCGGCGGTAGGGTCACTACTTGGCGTTCAACAAAGTAATAGCGTTGGCTTCAACGGTAATGTACCTAACTCTCAACTCAGCTCAGCACAGTCCAGCTCCGCCATCACCACCGACGGCTCCATCAATGGCGTACTGGGAAATTATATTTCGCAATCTGAAGTCGGTCAATTGGATCACTACTTCGAGAAGCAAAATCCAGTGGGTGACACACGAGTCTACACTCGTCTCATCAACACCTGCTATCCCGATGGTCATTGCGAGCAACAGCAATTGGGCGATGCTCAAGCCGATCAGCGACACCAGCACGTGGTATTAACGGCACGAGCGCGTGTACAACCGATCTCGGATAAGTGTCGCGCCCTGGGCAAATCAGGCGCTATGTCGGCGATAAGTGTTGGATCCGTTAGCGTAGGCAATCCTGCGCTAAATTCGATAAAGCGTCCGCCAAATCGCCGCTTCTATCAATACACAGAAGCGGTGATACCGCGCGATCCATTCAACTGAAAAACATAACAACCAATTTGTGTTATATGTGTATAATAAGAAAATATATGTATTGATGCCAATTTTGTTTTTGAAAAGGTCGATCTGCATGCATTTAAGTTTTGTTTATCATTCATTTATTTCAAGTTTAGCCTTAGAGTTTTAAAATGAATTATGAATAAATTAATTTAATGAGGACATCATATGGTTTGAAGGTTTTTGACTGTTTCAGTTCGAAGGTTTGGTTTGTCGATTCGTAAATGTACCGCTACGCTGTAGACATTTTTTTACTGCCTAAAAATATGCTATAATGCTATTTCATATTCGTTTTTTGTTATTTATCGTGTGCTTGCCTAGTGCATTTTCCAGCAACATTGTTGTGCAACATCAGTGATATTGATCAGTGATCAACTAGAACTTACTATTGTTGGAAAGATTGTTACTGGTGTAATAATAATCAAAATAAAGTAAAACGACCTCTAATCATTTGACTTGTAAAAGAGAAGGCATTATCGAGCAACGGAGCTTTACAATTTACTCGAGCTCTTCATCAACATATAATATAATAGCCATTATTTTACCCTTATAAGTATTATCTTTTGATGTTATATAATAAAGTAATGAGTTCAATAAGACTCATTTAACCGAAAATAATTTTCATTTACACTAGTAGTATCATAATCATTTGTGTTATTTAACTTCAGCTTCAACTACAAATACTGCGCTATGTTCTTAAATTAACGTTTTGTAAACGTGTTTTTTTTGAAAAACAAAACTAAAATATTTCACTAAAATGAAATTCATATTATTTATAGCGAGCGCAAACTTTTGCTATACAATATCTACATACACACGATTATAAGTTATAGATACTATAAATATTTCCCCAATGACCAGGTCTTCTGTGCCTCATTCGATCAATGCCACACAAAAAGCATTACAAGAGACTCCAACACACACAAAGCGACAGCATTTTGTAACGTCTCACATAACTCATCTAAGAACGGTTATGATTATGAGCAACCTAAAATTCAATTCAATTATCCAAATGCCGAAAGCAAACACAAGAACTACAAAGCATTGGAGACAATTAATTACCTGAACTATCAATCAGCAGATTCTAAGCTAAAGCCAGTCAGCAACGTTCCTATGCGGTTGCTTCTTAAAATACCCATGGTGTATGCTGGCAAGTCTTACAAACACGAAAAGGATCTACGTACACCTGTGGAAGAACGTGAAATGCGACGACCAGCAGCACGGCGTTTAGTGCGCTACACCGCGGTAGTTACATACACGCTGTAAAATTTAATGACTAACAACAAAACAACACAAAATGTTTACAAAAATATCTAGCATTCTTTCTATCAGCAAGTTTTTACTATTGTACTACTCATAACCGTTGGGAACTCACTTTAAAAATAGAAATTAAAATATATTGACAAACAAGTCAAAAATGTCTATAAATTTACATAAAATAATTATGCATATTTTACTTTGAAATGCGTCATATTCTTTAGACTCTCATTCTACAGTCTTCATTTTAAAAAGAATTTATAATCACGGTGACAAGCTCTGTTTATTCAAAAACACCATATTACGCAAAATTAAAATTAAATTCAAAATATTTTTAATATTATATAACCTTTTTGTGACGTCAGTAACTGAGAACAACTCATTTATACTGAATCAGCTGATTGCACAAAATCCCTTGAGAATCTCACATATTTGACTTTACGTTAATAAAAGTGTGCAGCAATGGAAATCGGTGTAGAAAACTCTCTGCAGGTTGCTTATCGTTATTCGCTTGCTTATATAAATGAAAAAAGTTTAGAGATCCACTGTCACTGCATTCTACTGCATACTGCACTATGGAAGAAATCATAGAACATCTAAGTTTTCTTTATTATTTTTTTCTTTGTATATGGCGGTTACAAACATACTCTTGACGAAACTAGTACAGTTCCATTTCATATTCATAGTTTCATTCTTTTCTCAGAAGCTTTTACAGATTAAGTGAATTTTATGATAATAATCATATAATCGACAGACTTTTGGCCGTTGTTGAGTAATACAATCGGTTCGAGGTATTAATCCATTCGAAGTTATTTAAAACTCACAATACTCACAAATACCATATTTAATCGAATTATTGTTATTGATAATAAGAAAAGGACAAACAACATGTTGCTTTTGGTGTTTCTTAGTGGGAATGCTACATATGGGTTAAGATGAACAACTTCAATTATAACTAGTTTTCAATATTAAATTTTCCGTCAGAAAAAAGAATTCGAAGCAAAATTGTATTATTATATTATATATTTATTAAAGGTCATAAACCACTTATTTTAAGAGAAATTTGCAGCCAATCATATTATCGTATTAGTATATATATGGTTATAATTATTTTTTAGTTTTATGATCTCAACTAGTATGGACTACATTTGCTGCGTATTTCAATTAAAAATGTAAATAGTCAGAAGAATCTATGTACTATGTAATCCAATCAAAAAACTAGAAATATAGGACTAAAAATTAACAATAACTTAACAAATCATTGTCGTTTCGATTAAAAAATTATTTATTACTATACTTCAACGATATAATAAGGCAAAAGATCATTGGAAGAATTGAAATACGAAAAAAATGTATAATATTTTTAAATATTTTCTATTAAAATACTATCTTCAACAAATTTGTGATATATTTTTATTTTTCATCCAATCTAAACTCATTCTTTTTCTCCATAATTGAACTATTGAAATACTGAAAAATTTCGGACTGAATTCTAAAATCTCGTAGAGCATTGGCATTCACTCACAGGCCTAATACGTAAAAGCTTTTCATGTGTTATATATACATATTAGGGTGTTCTAATTTTAAAATTCGATTTCTCCGAATTTCGAAATTTAGTCATTCTTAAATTACTGTAACTAATATTCTTGTAAAGATATTATTACTTTGTCTTAAAGCTTAATACAGCTCATAGTCTAATATATACATGTTAGGGTGTTCTAAATTGCATTTATCATTTTTAAATTAAATATTAATTTTAAAAATCAGTTGCTACCATGTGAATCATAGGAGAAACTAAAATTAAACAAGAAAAAACGTTAACTGCGGCTGCACCGAAGCTAGAATGCCCTTCACAAATACAACAAATCTTATAAGAAATTTGATCGGTCAGTTTGTATGGCAGCTATATGCTATAGTGTTCCGATCTGAACAACTTCTTCAGATATTGCATCATTGCTTTAGGCAATAACCCATGCCAAATTTTGTGAGGATATCTCTTTAAATGAGAAAGTGTTCCATACACGCACTTTATTCCGATCATTCAATTTATATGGCAGCTATATGCTATAGCGGTCCGATATTGGTCGTTCCAACAAATGAACAGTTCCTTGGTGAAAAAAGAACAGGTGCAAAACTGCGGATCGTTATCTCAAAAACTGAGGGACTAGTTCGTATATTAACAGACAGACGGACATTGCTAAAGCGGTTATCACGCTATTCATTTATATTAGGTCAAGTAAAAAGTTCGTTCGGTTTTTATTTAAGAGATGGCGTTATTGTCCATAGTACTAGTGTTACGTGTCGCATCATGTCATACTATACGGCGCCTTGATAGTTTTTCGATTGATTGACTCATTACGTTGTGAGCGCTCGTCAAAGATGGACACCAGCAAAGAGAAAATTCGCTATATTTTACAATTTTTCTTCGATCAAAGCGAAAAAGCAGCCAAAACGGCTGCGATAAAATCATGGAAATAGTGGAAACAGATCGTCACTTGAGCACTTATTTAATTGCTGAGGAACTAAAGATAAGCCAGAAAACCGTTTGGAACCATTTGCATAACCTTGTTCAAAAAGGAGCTCGATGTTTGGGTGTCACACGAACTAACGCAAAAAACATGATGCACCGAATTTCCATCTGCAAATCGCTGCAGAATCGCAACAAAATCGACCCGTTTTTGAAGCAGATTGTGACTGGCGATGAAAAATGGGTCACTTATGACAACATCGAACGCAAACGGTCGTGGTCAAAGCTCGGGGAAGCGGCCCAGATTGTGGCCAAGACCTGATTGACGGCCAGGAAGATTTTGCTGTGTGTTTGGTGGGATGGGCAAGGAATCATCTACTGCGAGCTGCTCCCCTATAGCCAAACGCTCAATTCGGCCCTCTACTGCCAACAACTGGACCGCTTGAAGGCAGCACTTGTCCAGAAGAGGCCATCTTTGATCAACAGAGGCCAAATTGTGTTCCATCAGGACAACGCCAGGCCACACACGTCTTTGGTGTTGTTGGCATCTCGTTGGCAACAAGGCGCATATTTGACTTAAATCGGACAAATGTACACAAAGTTATCATCTTTTGAAAAATCAATAAAAAACCGAACGAACTTTTTACTTTACCTAATATATACACTTTGCGACATATGGTCTCTACCGTTTCCTTTTGGGTGTTACAAACATCGTAGCAAACTTTATATACCCTGTTCAGGGTATAAATGGCAACACTTGAGAGTTGACCAATAGAACTAATGTTTGGCAAAGATTTTTGTACATCAAATATAAACAAGAGTTGAAAATTTTTTTTATTTTTGTTTAAGCAATCAATACATACACATGCAACTTCTGTGCGAATTACAAACAATATATATTTAATTTCTTCACTTAAATTGCATTCACCTGAATTTATGCACTTTTTAGCTATTTAACCGTTATTTAAAATTCCTTACAACTCGCAAATAACTGTCCCAGCAGGTTTCGCATCATCTTCGCTCATTGCTTAATTTCAGTTCGAATATATATAATATAATATGTATGTATTGTATATATGGGTCGTTGACGTATTCATTGCTGGATTATTAGCTGCAGCTGGCAGGCAAATTGGCCGTCTCTGCATTTTATGCGCCATCGTTTCATTATCGACTTGACACGTAATACGACTATAATTAATGATTTCTTCAGTTCGAAACTGGCTCTTCATTCTTTTTTATCTGTGTTTCTATTTATTTATATTTTTGTTTTTGTCTTAAAAACCACTTAAACTTAGTTCTTCAAATGACATTTTTATGGTTTCGAATTTTTTATGGCGTTCGCCGATTAATCGTAGACGCCAGCTTGTTCGCGAACGTAATCATAGTCGCCCGGTTATTATTAAAAGCTTGTCTTTAAAAAATTGTTTCGCTTAATTTATGCGTTCGCTTATTTGTTTACAAGCATTATTGCGCATTTCTTTTGGGCAAAAATTCCAAACTTTCTTCCATTAAGCACCGGGATAACCAAAGTTCCGTCAATATGTATGTCGAACGAAATAAATTAACCAACAACAAGTGTTTATTTTTTTACAATAAATAACTTATTTTATTAAATGTCTAACAGAAAATATCACAAGGAAATAAATAAATATTAAACAAAAACATCGGAAGATGGAATTCGTCAGTTAGAATTTCTTTTGATTTGCCGGGTTCACGCTATAGAGATCGTAATCAAACTGATCCCATGCATAGGCGTCGGCGCCACGAGGCACAGAGGAGCCTTTTTTCAATTTCAGCATCTTTCTTCTCTCCAGCTTGGGATCGGCCACTTCAATGCGCTGACGTATTTCACGTTCCTGCTTCGATACGGCTTGCGGTGCACGCAGCGGAGTATTCTTGGGCAAGAACTGTGTTTCGTCCATACTGAAATCGGAGCCGGCTGCCATTTTTGGTTCGTGGAAACTGGCGAAGTTCTGATACTGTATAGATTCCATGGGAAATTTGTCATCGGCCATAATCATGTCGAAGTTGTTGCTCTGCACCATCGGCACCTCGGCCGACGCGGACGCGATCAATGGGTCGATATTGTATCTGCCGTATTTGCCAAATTTGTAGTAGAGTGGGCTGGCTTGAATCGTGAGCACTGAGATAAGCATGAGTACGATGAAGGTTAGCTGCAAATGCGAGAATTAAGATTATAATTTTAATTTTTGTTGAAAAGTTAAGTAATTTAAAGATTTTTTACTGTTGTAAAAACGACAGATAGTTATTTTTTTAATCAAGTGAATTTTTAATTGAGAGTAATGAGTAAGTAAAAAAGTATTAAATTATTTTTACAAAACCAAAATATTTAATGAACTTATTTATTTTAATTAAAATAAATTTAAAATTATAGTTTTTGAATAAAAAAAAAAATTTATAAACTATTATTATCTAACAAGATTTATATTGTAAAAAGTATGAGTAAGAAATTAATTTAAAATTCTTCAAATCAAATTTTTCCAAACATTGATTATTCCAATTAAATACTTTTATGGAATTACTCCTACACTACTCAATTACTTTTTTATTAAAAAATTACCATTTTCTGCACAAAATCCCGCATTTTTTCACAATATACAGTTATCTCGTGTAATTTGTTTAATCCTTTAAACTGTGTCCTCCAATATTTTCTTGAGTCGCTGTGGCTGTATAACTCACTTAGCACTTTCGCACTTTCTTTATGAACACAAACTTATTGGGTTGTTGATGCTGCCAACTCAGTGTGACATCTAACTCCCGATTGAAGCGTCTTTTAAGTTTTGAACAAAAATTCGCTGAAATACACAGACGCCGACGTAAGCGCGGTAGCAACATATTCATACGTATACATGCACCGTTGTGTATTTGGATACTTAAGCTCAATTGGGAATTTCGTACACAAAAAATTAAAAAAAAACCAAACAAACCATGCAAGACGCCAAAATCGATCAACAAACATCGCAGAATGGCCGAGATAAAAGGCAATCCACCGTGAAACCCGCAAATCCGGTTTTTGGTGAAATGCGCCAATGAACGTGGCCGGCCGCTCGCAAATTCTTAAATGGTATTTCTCTACAGTCTGATGATTTTTGTTGATTTTTTTTTTTTGATTTTGGTTTTATAAAAGTTACGAAGGGAAATGTCCAGAATTTATTTAAATTTAAAGGCAAATGTGATTGCACGGCGCCGCCTGCGCAATGCGTAGCGCACTTTGTTTGGCACGCAGCCACTGGCCGGGCTGTTTTTCTGTGCAGTGAACCCTACATGACCGCAACATGCCAATAAACGACATTAGTGTGTTCGCGCTCATCGGTAGGTGGGCGCAGTCACAAAGCCTCATAACTTAAGCAAATTCACAAATTCAAAGCCAAATTCGGCGGCAAAAAATACCGAAATGAAATCAAAAGTAAGCGCGTTAAAAAATTTTTTTTCCAAGTTCAACCTAATCATCAATATGTATTTATGGTGATTGTATACCACACACAGCATGCGAGTAAATATCAAAAAAGAAATGATCGAAAATTTCACGCTCGAGAAATTGAAAAATTTGACATTAAGTATATTACACTTAATTTTAAATATTTCAAAAATTATTAAAAATATTGCTGATATTATACTTAAATATTTAAAAGCTTTCGTCAAAAAATTGTTGATCAAGAGATAAATTTTGGAAATTTGCGAAGTAATCGATTTAAAGTAAGATCAAGGTATTTTTAAGATCATAAGATAAAACTCTAAAAATACAAATGAAGAGAAGCAGTGTTATTTACAGCCCAAAGTACTTACACAGTATAAAATGCATGCTAAAGAAGGTTATATATGAATCCATCAAAACATCAAAAATTTGTTGGTAGATTGTAGCGATGCTATGACTTATAATCTATACCAAATTTCGTGAAGATACCTTGAAAATTAAAATGTTTTTCATACAAGCACTTGATTTCGATCGTTCAGTTTATATGGCAGTTATTTGCTATAGTGGTCAGACAAACGGACATGGTTTAATCGACTCAGCTCGTCATGCTGATCATTATATACTTTAAAGGGTCTTTAAAGGTGTTACAAACTTCGTGGCAAACTTTATATACACTGTTCAGGGTATAAAAAAATGTGATATACATTCTATTATAAGATTATATAATACTAAACAAAATAACTTCCTTCTGCCTGAGGTTGGATATCCAAAATTTTCGACGAAATCAATATATACATTTTTGTGTGTAGGCTATCAAATTTAAGCTTTGTTTGAACCATTGTTCATCTGCCGTTTTATCATCATTTAAATATCAAAGTATTTAACACTGTTATTTGTTTCCATACACGCATACAGGCATTTGCAATTATGTTTGCCAAAAAAAAAATGCAATTGTGTAAGTTCGAATACAAGATTCGCTTTCATACTGTCAATATTATTGCAATCGGCTTATCAATGGGCAGAATATTTATTGTTTACGATTATCAATTTTGACACACTTTTTTATTGTTTTCACTTTATCAGCATGTTTTTGAATATTCAATATTTTTTTCCATGTATTTCCATGCGCGCCGTTACTTCATTTGGGTATTATGACATTACAAGCAACAGGGTAATAATAACTTAATAGGTTTGTATTCAAAAATGAGTAAATATACGATTATAGGTGTACGAGTTATATATCACAATAAAAAGTCACAGTAATTATTACTAAACTGACTTTGATTTGAATATACTAGTACTTAACAAGAGTATGTAATTAGAAACCCTCTAACCGGCCCTATAGTGCATAACACGTTCGATGTTATCACAATTGATTTTCATATCACATAATTTCAAAAAAAAATGAATCGCAGTCTTACAAAAAAAAAATATTTTGCACCCTCGAAATGTGCGCTGGGTTTATAATATAATACATACAGTTTATCCCGAACTTAAACCTCACCCTTTCGGTTGACCTCTCAATTCTGTAAATTATCATACTTATTTTTCTGTTGTTTACCTCGAACCGATAAATAATTTCGGCGTCATTGCACCAATTAAATTTATTGTAAAACATTACTTATTCGAAAGAGCCTCTTATGCTTGGGGAAAACCCTCGATGTATTTACAAAAGCTTTGTTTTCAATACTTCAGGAGTTTTACCATAATTGAAGAATATTAAGCTCATAAATTTTAATTTCAATCGAAATTGAAACAAGTTCTTTTTGTTTTTCGGGAGTAAAATTTATTGCAAGAGATAACTTGACTAAAGTTAATAAAATTAAAATTATTTAAATTGTTATTACACATAGGGAAAGATGAACTATCACAACGCTTATAAAGTGACAATAATGAACAATAGATAAAGTACAATAATTCTGTAACCAAAAAACTACATAAAAGGCATATATTATATATGTTTAAAAGTGGGCGTAGTCTCACCCTTTAGGGCGTTTAACGGACATACCCATCATTAGAAAAAATATCTCTGAAGAATTCAATAGAAAAATTACATTTCACCGCGTACGCAGTGCTTCCAGATTAATATAAAATAAATCAAAAAGCAAAGACGCCTACTATCCATGTTATGGTATACATAATTAAAAACTACTAAAACTGCGATAACTCCACAAAAAATAACGACAGAAATGAAAAAATAAATAGTGAGGAAGATATGTCAGGCCTATAAATAAAGTTTTCGGCTATGAGTTCTACAAAGGCATGTATTTCCCTACCGGATCCATTTAAAGCAAATTTAAACCTGGTTCTGTCACGTACTATTTTTAGCTTAAGAGCGGTCAAAATCGCTTTCGTATAATTTGACAGACAGAAGATCATTTAACCCCAATGCCACTTAGATATATCTACTCAAATTTATTTTATACCATAAGCCTGTGGAAAAGTGACTTAAAGTAGAACTTCACTTTTGTAAATATTAATTTTAAAACCAATAGTTTTTATAGGACACATACAGGAAATATATGTATATGCAATTGGCAAAATTATACTAACATACAGGATCAATGACATTTTCACCAACCATTCACGAAGTTAACGAGAATAATACAGTTTCACATTGCATTTAATATCACAGGTATATAAACAAAAATTCATTAAAAATGTTGGTTGCACCTTTAGGCATTCAAAATGTACTATTTCCACCCCTTAATATTATATTTACTATATGCATATTTGTTTTGTACTACCCCCTTTCAAGCCATCTACAGTTGAACATTTTATGTTTCGCGAAACATTTTTTGATCTCCAATTGTGATGATGCGCGGTGATTATATATATATTATACATGTGTATATATTTGCGCGCATCAATTATACAAAATTGTGCATTGAAACTTTCATTTCATTAAATAATTCCCTATTTCTGTTTGATAATAATATTTTTCGGTATCATGTTTTTCTGAATAAAATTGTTTTCATCAAACTACTGTACAAATTTCATACAACAAATAAAAGGCGAACCAAAATTTAAATTAGTAAATATGTATGTACATCTCTACCCCGCACACCTGTGTCATATTTGTATGATAAAAGGAGCTCATAATAAGAATTCACTTTGTGGAAAACCATAAATCATCACCAATTGACTTCTTTATTCGTTCGGTTTACTAAGATATCTTTTACGCCAAAAAATGTATGGTATATTGTTCAAACTGAACTAACAAACCTTAAACTATGATATAGATAAAAATAAAATAATGTTTCTAGGTAACATTCCGTGAACAAATGGCATCCAAAAGTTTTATATCGATCGAGTTCAGTTAAAGTTAAGTTAAAATTGAAGAAAAGTTCAGAGGCTACCGTGAGAAGAATGGTACCCTACTATTATGTCCAAAAAACTATTCAATATCTTTAATATTCTAGCAATATCAAAAAGAAACAATATCTATATGAATGCATTTATTATATTATATAATATTTGGCAGAAGGTTTGACGAGAAATATTCAAATTATATGGCTCGTGAAAGGTTATGACATAACACTCGCTTCTGAGATGAAAACAATTGTTGTCAAATGCAAAGAAGGTCTTTTAAAAAGGCTATTGGTCAATATTTCGTGTTTTCAAAACAGAAAAAAACGATAAACTCAGTTGTCAGAGATGAATACTTTCTATAAATGGCTCAGAACTGCACAAATGGCGCTTTTTTTAAATCAACTGGTTCAATATTAAATAATGTATACGTTTTGAACATCTTTATAACAACAACCAAGTTCAAGAAGTCTGTATACGAGTATTTAAACTTCAAAGGCTATGGCATGATTAATTACTGTTATAAAGAAAACTCATGTTGAACTGTCAGCTCGATAACTTTGCTTTAAATTTCTCAATTTCAAAATTTTTTTTCTTGCGCTTTGATGCAATAATTTATGCTTGGTTCAAATATAGATTATCATATGTTGTTTACAAACGTAAACTCATGTATACACAACACGCACTTTTACAAAAAACCCAATTTTTAATTAAAAACAAAAAACAGTCATGACAAACGCATTAAAAGTAAAAGGCTTTATTAATTTTGTACTGAAATGAAATAAAAAACTTTCTCAGGTATGTTTTTTCTGGAATAAATGCAAATTACAACACATAAAGATAACAACAAACACAATTTACATATAAATATTTAAATTTACATTTTACATATAAAAAAAGAAAACTTCATCGAGCGAGAAGTGGTTAAGATGCTCACAAAAAAAGTTATTAATTAATTTATATAACGAGTCGAAAAACTTTGAAAATTAAAAGAAAAATTGCTTGCAATTAAGTGTTTTATTCAACTTTGGAGTTGTTTATGCGCTTTGAATGATTTCGCGATTACACATATGCAAATATAG